GAGAGACTCTTGAATGCTGACAAAAACTGAGGACTGATGGATGTGGGGGGGGAGGAGGGATGGGCATGGAGGAGGGCACTTGTGGGGATGAGCACTAAGTGTTATGTGGAAACTAATTTGACAATAAACTATTTTCAAAAAAAAATCATGAAATCACAAAGGAAGACAGGAAGAAAGAATAATTGATCTATGAAACACCTGGAATACTGAAATGACAATAGTAAATCTGAACCTATCAAAAATTACTTTAAATGTAAATGGACTGATGAATAGATAAAAAATGAAATATTACTCAGCCTTAAAAAAGAAGGAAATCCTGCCATTTCCAACAGTATGGATGAACCTGAACAACATGGACAAGATGACAAGGGAACTAAACCAGACTCAGAAGGACAGTTGTAACATAATCTCACTTATAAGTGAAATCTAGAAAAATAAAGTCAAATTCAATAACAGAAGGTAGAATGTAGTTATCAAAGGGTGGGGAGGAGGGTAAAGGGCAGATGTTAATCAAATGGTACAAACTTTTCAATTATAAGATGAATAAGTTCTGGAGACTAAATATACTACATGGTGATCATACGTATTAATGCTGTATTATATACTTGAAATTGACTTAAAAAGTAGATATTACATGTTCTTACCACACACATGCACACACACATACATACACACAAAGTAACTCTGGGTGGTGATAGATATGTTAATTTATTTGTCATAATCACTTCAAAAAATATATAAAGTAAAACATCACCCTTAAATATGTACAGTTCTCATTGTAAAAATATATATCTAAATTTTTAAATGGTGAAAGACTGAATGTTTCCTCCTAACATCAGGACCAAGGCAAAAATGTTCACTCTCAACACTCTTATTTAACATTGTAGTAGAAATCCTAGTTAGTGCAGTAAGACAAAACAAAGAAATAAAAGGCATACAGATTGGAAAGATAAAAATAGGAATGTCCCTATTTCAGGTGACATATTGCCAATGTAGAAAAACTTGGGTAACTGTGTGACTCAGTTGGTTAAGCGTCCAACTTCAACTTAGGTCATGATCTTGCAGTTTATGGACCCAAACCCCCTGTTAGGCTCTGTGCTGGTAGATCAGAGATTGGAGCCTGCTTTGGATTCTGTGTTTCCTGTCTTTGCCCCTCCCTTGCTTGTGTGCTCTTTCACTCTCTCTCTCTCTCTTTCTCTCTCCCTCTCTCAAAAATAAACAACTATTAAAAAAGATTTTTTAAATCTTGAGTAATATAAAAAAGAACACTTCTGCATCTAATAAATGGGCCAAGCTACGTTGTAGGAAGCAAGATCAACACCCCAAAATCAACCACATTTCTATACAGTTAAAGGAATATGTCAAAACACTTAAAAATACAAAACAACTATAATCACTCAAAGAAGGTGAAATACTTTTAGATGTATATTTAATGAAACATGTATGTTTTTCTTGTTCTTAGAGTTACACACTGGTGAAAAGAATCAAAGAAACCCTAAATAAACACAAACTGCATTCATGCACTGAGAGACATGATTTTGTAAAGATAATAATTTTCTGCAAATTGATCTATAGGTTTAAATTAATTTTTATCAAAATCCCAGAAAAATTTTTGTGAACATAGGTAAGATGATTCTAAATTTGTATGGAAAGGCAAAAGAGTTAGAATACCTAAAACAATTCTAAAAAAATAATAAAACTTAGGGTGACTGGCTGGCTCAGTTAGTGGAGTATGCATTTCTTGATCTCAAAGTTGTGTTTGTGTCCCACGTTAGATGTAGAAATTGCTTAAAAATACAATCTTTGGGGCTCCTGGGTGGCTCAGTCGGTTGGGCGTCTGGCTTTGGCTCAGGTCTTGCAGTTCGTGGCTTCGAGCCCCACATCAGGCTCTGTGTGGACAGCTCAGAGCCTGGAGCCTGCTTTGCATTCTGTGTCTCCCTCTCTGTCTGCCTCTCCCCCGCTCACACTCTGTCTCTCTCTCAACAATAAATAAAGAATAAAAAATTAAAAAAAATACAATCCTTAAAAAAACAAAAATAAAATGGGAGGAGTCACTGGACACAGTATTCAAGAGTACTATATGGCTACAAAATCAAGATAGCCTGGCACCAGTGGAGGGATGGTTACAGAGATCAATAGACAGAACAGAGAATGAGAAATGCACACACACATAGACCCAACTGATTTTTGATGATTTAATAATAATTAATTAAAAAGTAATTCAATGGAGGAACTATAGTCTTTTCTCAAATGGTGCTGGAGCAAATAGACATCGATAAGTCAAAAAAAAAATGGGGGAGGGCTTTGACGTAAACTGTACATCTTATAACTAACACCAAAAAGTCAAACCAAAATGGATAATAGACTTAAATATAAAACATAAAACTACATAATATTTACATTATATATGTAAAACATAAAACTATGTAAAACTATACACATAAATGTAAAACATAAATACTTGGAGAAAATCCTTGGGGCTTAGGGCTGGCTGAAGAGTTTTCAAACATGATGCCAAAGTCACAACCCATAAAAGGAAAATAAAGGATGAATTGACTTCATCAAAATAAAAACATATTTGCTCTGCTGAAGACCCTGATACAACAAAAAGACAAGCTACACACTGTGCCTACAAAAGAATAGTAAGAGGGAGAATTTTGGTGATGAAACAGCTCTGTAACGTGATTGTGGTGGTGGATACACTAATCTACATGTAAGATAAATGTTCAGACAGCAACACACACACACACACACACACACACACACACACACACACGGGTAAACATAAAACTGCTGAAATCTGAATAAGTTCTGTGGCCAGAACCAATGGCAATTTGTGGTTGGAAACTACTGTAATTCTGCAGGATATTACCTCAGGGGAAAGAGTTTGAAGGTTACATGACATAGGATATCCTGTGACAACTTCCAGTGAATCTATAATTATTTTAATATGAAGATTTTATAAATAAATAAGTGCACTAAAAATAAACTGTTACCTACCCTCCGGTTTGTGAAGACAGAATAACATTCTTTCACTAGTACTGTTTTGATCATGTCCGGATCTGTGATAGCCAACACCGGCTGTCGCCCATCATAAAACCTGCATAAGGGAAATAGCTGATTATTTAACATGCCTGTTTCTGCAGTGGCAGACACTCCTGGAAGTCCAGACTTTTATCCTGATGTTACCTAATCCATTCTTTGACATCATGATTAGAAACAACATGAGAACATTTGTGATGTGTTTATGGGTATTTCCCCTACCGTTCTCCATAATTCTCTGTACATTTAGAATATTTCAATATTTTTTATGTATTTTAGACATTTTAAATAATTGTTATATTTATCAAAAAAAAGTTAGGTTAGTAAATAACTGAAGGCAAGTAAATTATCTAAGAAAAAAAAGATAATGAGGGAGAGTTCACCCACTCAGACATGAAGAATTATAATTTTAAAAATATCAAACACATGAAAGGTATATGATAGAAATTAGATGAAAATTTTAGATACACTGATCACAGATATGTAAGATGTATCTGCAGATGAAAAAGTCTTAGAATGTTCAAAAAGTTATGGTAGGGTTATGAATCACTTCTTTGCCCTTCTTTGCAAATTTCTAAAATTTGCTTACTCATTTATAACATTTTATTTAGTTTTAAATATAATTTACTGTCAAGTTGGCTTCTATACAACACCCAGTGCTCATCCCAACAAGTGTCCTCCTCAATGTCCATCTCCCATTTTCCCCTCTCCCCCAACCTCCGGCGGAGGCTGAGAACAAACAACCCTCAGTTTGTTCTCTGTATTTAAGAGTCTCTTATGGCTTGCTTCCCTCCCTCTCTGTAACTTTTTTCCCCTTTCCTTCCCCCATGGTCCTCTGTTAAGTTTCTCAAGATCCACATATGTGTGAAAACATATGATATCTGTCTTTCTCTAACTTATTTCACTTAGCCTAATATTTTCCAGTTCCATCCATGTTGCTCTGAATGGTAGGATTTCATTCTTTCTCATTGCCAAGTAGTATTTCATTGTATATATAAACCACATCTTCTTTATCCATTCATCAGATGATGGACATTTAGGCCCTTTCCATAATTTGGTTATTGTTGAAAGTGCTGCTAAAAACATTGGGGTACATGTGCCCCCATGCATTGGCACTCCTTCATCCCTTGGATAAATTCCTGACAGTGGTACTGTTGAGTCATAGGGTAGTTTTATTTTTTGTTTTTTTTTTTTAAATAGTTTATTGTCTTTTCTCCCCCTTGAATGCAGACAGACTTCTTTTTATTTACTCTTCTTAGTTTTGGTACAAATATTTAGTTACAAATATTCATTAAAAATTTAACCATTAGTTACTTTATTTTTTTTCCTTTTTTAAGTTTATTGTCAAGATGGTTTCCATATAACACCCAGTGCTCATCCCCACAAGTGCCCTCCTCCATGCCCATTACCCCCTTCCCCTCCCCTTCACCCCCATCAGCCCTCAGTTTGTTCTTGGCATTCAAGAGTCTCTAATGGTTTGCCTCCCTCCCTCTCCCCCACTATTTTTCCCCTTCTTCTCCCCCATGGTCCTCCATTAAGTTCCTCATAATCCTCCTATACGTGCAAACATATGGTATTTGTCCTTCTCAGCCTGACTTATTTCACTCAGCATAACACCCTCAAGGTCCATCCACGTTGCTACACATGACCAGATTTCATTCTTTCTCATCAAGAAGATGTGGTTTATCTATATAATGGAATACTACATGGCAATGAGAAAGAATGGCCTGATCTTTCAATATGCCCCTTATTGGGAATCGGCCACTGGCATGAGGTTTACTTGAAGCTTAATTACACCGTCTCTGGCATTTTGTTTTCCATTATCAATCATTTCCATTTGCCAGATCAAAATAGATTTACTATAAGTTCCTTATTCTTTCTTTGATATCACAGAGGAATTTCAAATGGTTTTGTGATCACATATAAAAATGAGTGAGAATCACTGAACTAACTGCTCCCCATGTCCGAAAAGTATAACTCAGAAAGTGTCAGTGGGAGTCTAGTATATTTAGCGTTTAAGCAGTGATAATTTAAGCAGTGATAATTAAGTTACTGAGGTGGCACTTAGATCAGCTCTCCCATCAGCTTGATCATATTTCATGGATGATTTCCCTCATCTTATCATGTTTGTTAAAAAACACCAAGATAGACTAGGGACAGTGGTTTGAAGTTACCCTTTACTTTTATGATCTCACACGGCCCTAATACTTCTACTACCAGTTAAATTCAGATTGTCGCACCCCACCCCAGATCCTTCAGATTCTGTGTTGCTGGAGGAAGGAAACCAAGAATCTGCATTTTTAACAAGCCCTCCCAGGTGGTCCTTATTCACAGTCAAGCATGAGAACCATTTACTAAATGCAGAACTGGAGCCCACGATGTAAGACGGACTCCAGCCAGAGCTGACCAGTACTGAATGTAGGAAGGAAAGGACACTGGAGATGAACCAGTGGCAATCCAGAGATCTGTGTTCTTTCTATTCCATCGTGTTGCTTATGGGCCACACCAACTCAGCAGAGCCTTATGGATTCTGAGGACATGACCTGAGAAGATCAACAAGTGTAGAGAAATACAACACCTACTGTGGGCAGCCCAACACCACACTATACCTCTCACACTGTTTCAGCAAACCTCTAGCCAATCTCAGTGGGAGCATCCACTGCAAGCAGCCAAGGCCATACTACAAAATGCCAAGTCCATCATCAGCCCACCAGGGAAACACTGTGGTTTAGAAATTTCCCACATATCTTCCAGTCCATAGAATGGAAGAATGAAATACTTGATTATACTTTTGTTGAAAAGTCTTTGGCTCAGTATTAAAACACTGAATAAAACAACTGCACCCTTGCAGACAAAGTAAGAAAAAGCTGAGTAGAAATGGTTTTCCATTCTGTTTATACAGCCTTTCTCTTCCTCCTCTTTTTAGGTTTTAAGCTTTTTCTTTATTTTCAATACATAAACCATCATATGGTTCAAAAATTAAATCACACAGCATGATTTCATTCTTTCTCATTGCCAAGTAGTATTCCATTATATATATAAACCACATCTTCTTGATCCATTCATTGGTTTGTGGACATTTAGGCTCTTTCCATGATTAGGCTATTATTGAAAGTGCTGCTATAAACATTGGGGTACATGTTCCCCTATCATTAGCACTTCTGTATCCCTTGGGTAAATTCCTAGTAGTGCCATTGCTGGGTCACATGCCATTTGTAGCAATGTGGAAGGAATTGGAAGGTATTATGCTAAGTGAAATAAGTCAGTCAGAGAAACACAGATATCATATGTTTTCATACATATGTGGATCTTGAGAAACTTAACAGAAGACCATGGCGGAAGGGAAGGGGAAAAAATAGTTACAGAGAGGGAGGGAGGCAAACCATAAGATACTCTTAAATACAGAGAACAAACTGAGGGTGGATGGGAGGTGGGGGAGAGGAAGAGGGAAAATACATGATAGGCACTGAGAGGGGCACTTTTTGGGCTGAGCACTGGGTGTTTTATGGAAGCCAATTTGACAATAAACTATATTTTAAAAAAAGATACATGGCACATATCTCATTGTCTTCCCCCAATGAGTAATCACCTCTATTGGTTCCTTGGTTGTCTTCTTCCAGAACTTACTCCCCTGTTTGTCTCCCTACCCTGCACTGCACACACAGTGCTCTCTGTTCATCCAGGAACTACTCTTTCACTCATCTTTCATGCTGGTAAGCTGAGAACTTCCTCAGGCTTTTGTTTAGCTGACTTCTCACTGGATCTGCAAAGTTTTTTCATAAGACTTTATTTTTTTCTAGAGCAGTTTTAGGTTCACAGTAAAACAGGACTGATGGATGTGGGGAGGAGGGGAAGAGGGGTGATGGTCATGGAGGAGGGCACTAGTGGGGATGAGCACTGGGTGTTATATGGAAACCAATTTGACAATAAACTATTAAAAATAAATAAATAAAAACTTGGTGGAAACTTCAAAAGAAATAGAATAGAATAGGAGTTATCCACATTAGGGAAAAAAACTGAGAAGAAGATACAGATTTTTCATATACCCACCCCAGCCTAACATACACAACCAGTATCTACACCCCCCATCACAGTGGTTATAATGTGTTACAATTGATGAACCTACACTGACAGGACATTATCACCCTAAGTTCATAGTTTACATTGGGGTTCACTCTTGATGTACTTTCTATGAGTTTGGATGCATTTATACTGACATGTCCAGTTCTTCTTTTAGCGGCAAAATTAACCCAAAGTATAAAATTTAATGTAAAGATTTAATCTAAAATGTAAATAAAGGATACCCTACAGTTCTCTAGGCCTGATTCACATTGGACCCACACATTTGGTGACACATGGGATCCCGGGAGAGAAAGAATCAAGAAGCTTTAACATAGTGGGCTTCATCCCAATGGGAATTCAAATGAGACTGTCCACACTGCACGGGCCTGATCATAACAAGCCTGTCCACTGGGAGTTTCCAGAATACTCACCCCCATATTCTTCCATACTTTCTAAAACATTTCTCATCAAAATCACAAAATCCCTGGAAGAAGAAACAAAACATATTACTAACCTAAATATACTGAGCCCTACCTCTAATGGGGGGTGGTGGTGGTGGGGTATAATGACTCAGAGCATAAAATATGGCATTCTACCACTAATTGGCAGGTAGAGGGAAGCTCTTATTCAGGCATATTACAGGAGAACAGAGAAAACAGGACATATTTGTAACAGAATTTCAAGTCCTTCTTGAGTTTTCCACAAGTACTGTAGAGACTAAACATCTTAGCCCATCTATGAAAACCCTGTAACCTCTGTCTTTCTGACATGTTTGACTTGTGCATAGGTTGTCTCTAAATCTCATAACCATCTGAATTATTGCCTTCAGGGCCACTTGAGAAAATGGAAACTGAGGGAAAGCCAGTGTGGCCCACAGTTACCACCTGTTCATAGATCTCATGAGCCCTACTAGATTTCCAGTGGACATAGGAAATTAAGACACCAGTGACTTCTTTTAGTCTAGCAGATTTACAAGAGCTTAAGGCATCCTCCTCCTCCTCCTCCTCCTCCTTCTTCTTCTTCTTCTTCTTCTTCTTCTTCTTCTTCTTCTTCTTCTTCTTCTTCTTCTTCTTCTTTTAAAGTAGGCTTCATGCCCAACATGGAGTCCAACATGGGACTTGAAATCACGACCCTGAAATCAACACCTGAGCTAAGATCATGATTTGGGTGCTTAACCAACTGAGCCATCCAGGCACCCCACACATGTTTCTTGATGAGAAAGTGAGAGACGAATGAATAACAAAGTGGACTTGCCTTCCAGTCATTTACCTCAATACGGATGAGAGAGGATGGTACCACCACTCCACAAAGGACAGTGCAAATTAAACACTTGTTCTGAGTTTTCACTTACGTCACTTCCAAAACAACAACAACAACAACAACAACAACAACAAAATATCCTGTGGCTAATTTCAGCCGTGATTTTGATGTTTTAACTACGTAAAAGGGGGCCCAGAAATGTGGGTCTTGGGGTGCATCCACTAAGGAATAGATCTGTGAAAAGTGGAAATTATTGCTTTTTTCAGAAGGAAAAGTCCAGGAGGTCGTAGGTGGTTATTAGGCACTGAGGCCTCAGGAGGGAGACCTGGGGGCTGAGAAACAAGCCGCAAGTCTGTGGGAAAGGAACTCCAGGGCAGAGAGCCACCTGTACTAGAGACTCTGCTTGCTGGCTTTCTGATATTGGGCTCCTAACCTTCTGTCCATGGGCTGGGCCTGAGGTGAAGGATCAGAGCTGGATTAGCCACAACAACTCCACCAACATTCCATCTGTGTGTCTGCTAGTATATTCCATTTAGTTTCATTAAATATTTTTTAGTTTTGTCAAAGTATCTCTTTTCTAGTGATTTTGTATGAGCAATTTTAAGTTTGTGTGAAAAACAACACACACACACACACACACACACACAACTTGTTTAGAGTTTAAAATCTGAAGCAATAGAAAAGCACCATCTTGCTTCAGTTACACTCCTTCCTGCTCAACTCACACATAGGGTGTCTCCTTTGAAGGCAGAGAATTAAAGCAGAGCCCTGGTTCAACCAATCAAATGCCAAAAGATGTCATAGGTGACAACGGGTGAGTTAGAGCCCTGGAAATAACTGTAGGGGGTTGGACAATTCTTAGGAAAATCCAATTATGTGCAAATTCCTCAAAAGTGAATCTGGGACTGCTCATTAGCCAAAGCTCCAGAACCATCCGGGAAAGCAAAAAGGCTACTCAGAGCACATACTATGGACAGGAAAGTCTTACTCTAGCATACAGAACTTAATGAGCCATTACCAGGGTCACCTCTGATGCTTTTCAGCTAATATCAAGTATGATTATGCCCTCCTGAGAATCTGCACCTACCAGAAAGAAAAACCTCTTCATGATGCTCACAACCTGGAAGAGCAAGTCTTGTGGTGAATCAGCCAGAGGGCTGGGCTGCCAGCTGACAGAAAACCCGAGACTCCTAACAGAAGTAATAGAGCCCTGGGCTATACCTGGCCATGTGCTGGGTGGGTCCTATGTCACAATTTCAGGAAAGCCTGAAACCCAAGCATTTTTACTATGGAACTAAGGTAAGATTTGCAATTATAAGAAGCAATAGAGGAAGCTCAGACAACACTCACCTTACGATAGGCCAGAGTAGTTCCCCAAAAAGGCAGTGGTGTTGGCCCAGGAATTCCCAGTTTCTTAAAAAGTCCATGTGTATAGGTCCCATATCTTTAAAGTGAAAGAAAAAGCCTGGTCACAGAGATGGTAGAAGAGGTGGTGGGGCTGGCCAGTCACTGACGCAGAACTGGAAGAGGCAAGTGGGAAAGGTAACATATATCCAATAAATAATAACATCAATTCCAACAGCAAGATTTACATTTACTAGGGGCGCCTGGGTGGCTCAGTCGGTTGGGCGGCCGGTTTTGGCTCAGGTCATGATCTTCATGGTTTGTGGTTTCAAGCCCCGGATCAGGCTCTTTGCTGACAGCTAGCTCAGAGCCTGGAGGCTGTTCCAGATTCTGTGTCTCCCTCTCTCTCTGACCCTCCCCTTCTCACACTGTCTCTCTCTCTCAGAAATATAAAAAAAAAAAGAAGAAGAATTACATTTACTCATCATCTCCTCCCCTCCCTCCTCTGTGAGACCCACAAAAAGTAGTGACACATAGTAAAGAGTAGCTGAAAACTTGATGATCTCAATCTTAGAGTGAAGACTTGGTAAATATTTCCACATTGAGAGGTCCTGAAAAATTCAGGGTGGAATTCTTACAGGAAATTCACTGATGCCTATTTAGTAAATGACTCTCCCATGACTTTGTTGATTGTCACTCTAGGGAGAAAGAGGAGAAATTGTTTTTCTGCTCCAATGATGAGATTTAACTTAAGTGCACTCACTCAGTAAGAGAGGGTTATTGAGAGCCTACCATGAAAATGTCCCTGCCAGTTTACTCAGAGACATTTCTACATTTCCTTCTTTTAGGCTTTGTAATGATTCTGGATCTGGTCCGTCTTAAATCTATCTTTGTAGAAGCCTTGAGCAACCACAGTGTTCTTATTTCTGTACAATGAAAACTGTGTCCAAGGCTCCACTGACCTCATATAATATGACATGTTTTCAGTTCCACCCAAGTCTCTGCTGTCAAGCAATCTGGTTCTCTTGAGCTCCAGAAAAGGGGGACTGACCCATATGCCCCCTGAATGATACCATATAAAAGAATCAGAAAGTAAACAATCCATTCTCAGACCATTCTTCCCTGTGGCCTCATGTCCTCCAACCTGTGATGTTCACCTGCTCAGTAAACTGCAAGACCCACTCAATTTTTTAAAGATAGTCACTTAGTTTACTAACTCTGTACATCAACTATCTCAAAAACTCATTATGGATGGTGCTCCCTATGGCAGGCCTGCCTACTATCCATCTTTCATGAGTTGCCTATGGAATCCCACAACTCAGGGGTTCTGGATCCTTGCCAGCCTTCCACTTAGGTGTTGTAGAGAGACGGCAGAGCAGAGGAAGGAGAGAGGCTGAGGGAAGAGGCTGCCACCACCATTTTAACCATGAACTTGCCAGGCCTATAAGGTTAACCTCATAGACGCAAATTAGGAAAGTATGGTGGAAAGGATGCTAGGTAGAAATGCTTCAACATACCTTACAGGTAGTTTCAGCTAACTTAAGCACACACTGACTACCAAAATTTACACGGGAAAATATTAAAAAAAAAATCTCCCAACTGGGGCGCCTGGGTGGCTTAGTCGATTAAGCGTCCGACTTTCACTTGGGTCATGATCTCGCGGTTCGTGGGTTTGAGCCCAGCGTCGGGCTCTGTGCTGACTGCCAGCTCAGAGCCTGGAGCCTGTTTCAGTCTGTGACTCCCTCTCTCTCTGACCCTCCCCTGCTCACGCTGTCTCTCTCTCTCTCCTAGAAATAAATAAAACATTAAAAAAAATAAGTCAGGCAGAGAAGGACAAATACCATATGTTTGCACGTATAGGAGGATTAGGAGGAACTTGACGGAGGAACAAGGGGGAGAAGAAGGGCGGAAATGGTGGGGGAAAGGGAGAGANAAATAAGTCAGGCAGAGAAGGACAAATACCATATGTTTGCACGTATAGGAGGATTAGGAGGAACTTGACGGAGGAACAAGGGGGAGAAGAAGGGCGGAAATGGTGGGGGAAAGGGAGAGAGGCAAACCATGAGAGACTCTTGAATGCTGACAAAAACTGAGGACTGATGGATGTGGGGGGGAGGGGGGGATGGGCATGAAGGAGGGCACTTTGGGGATGAGCACTGAGTGTTATGTAGAAACTAATTTGACAATAAACTATTTGTAAAAAAAATAAATAAATAAAAATAAAAATAAAAAAAAAATAAAAATGAAAAAAAAAAAAATCTCCCAACAAATAAGAGCCCTGGGCCAGATGGCTTCCCTGGGGAATTCTACCAGACGTTTAAAACAGAGTTAATACCCATTCCTCTCAAGCTATTCCAAAAAATAGAAATCAAAGGAAAACTTCTAGACTCATTCTATGAAGCCAGCATCACTTGGATTCCTAAACAAGACAGAGACCTAGCAAAAATTAGAACTAGAGGCCAATATCCTTAATGAATACAGATGCAAAAATCCTCAACAAGATAGTTTCAAATTGAATTCAACATCACATAAAAAGAATTATCCACCAAGATCACGTGGGATTCATCCTTGGGTTACATGGCCGGTTCAATATTCAAAAAACAATCAATGTGATACATCACATCAACAAAAGAAAAGATAAAAACCATATGATCCTCTCGATAGATGCAGAAAAAAATATTTGACAAAACATAGCATCCCTTCTTAATAAAGACCCTCGAGAAAGTCGGGATAGAAGGAACTTACTTAAACATCATAAAAGCCATCTATAAGAAGCCCTCAGCCAACATCATCCTCAACAGGGAAAAACTGAGAGCTTTCCCCCTGAGATTAGGAACATGACAGGGATGTCCACTCTCATCACTGTTGTTTAACATAGTGCTGGAAGTCCTAATATCCAGCCATTAGACAACAAAAGAAAATCAAAGGTATCATAATTGGCAAACAAGAAGTCAAACTTTCACTTTTTGCAGATGGCATGATACTCTACATAGAAAACCCGACAGACTCCACCAGAAGCCTACTAGAGCCGATCCATGAATTCAGCAAAGTTGCAGGGTACGAAATCAACGTACAGAAATCAGTTGCATTTTGATACATCAATAATGAAGCAACAGAAAGAGAAATCAAGAAACTGATCCCATTCACAATTGCACAAAAAACCATAAAATATCTAGGAATAAACCTAACCGAAGGTATAAGAGATCTGTATGATGAAAACTATGGAAAACTTATGAAGGAAATTGAAGAAGACACAAAGAAATGGAAAAACATTTCATGCTCATGGGTTGGAAGAAAATATAGTTAAAATGTCATTACTACCCAAAGCAATCTACACATTCAATGCAATCCCAATCAAAATTGCACCAGCATTCTTCTCAAAACTAAAACAAACTATCCTCAAATTTGTATGGAACCACAAAAGACCCCGAATAGCTAAAGTAATATTGAAGAAGAAAACCAAAACTGGAGGCATCACCATCCCAGACTTTAGCCTCTACTACAAGCTATAATGCACAAAATGGACTTACTACACTAGTAATAAGTATGGTACTGGCACAAAAACAGACACATAAACCAAAGGAATAAAATAGAGAACTCAGAATTGGACTCACAAATGTATGGCCAATTAATCTTTGAGAAAGCGGGAAAGAGTATCCAATGGAAAAAAGACAACCTCTTTAACAGATGGTGCTGGGAGAACTGGACAGCAACATCCAGAATAATGAAACTGGATCACTGTCTCACAGCATACACACAAATAAACTCAAAATGGATAAAGGACCTGGATGTGAGATGGGAAACCATCAAAACCTTAGAGAAGGAAGCAGGAAACAACCTCCTTGACCTCCACCGCACCAATTCCTTACTTGACACATCCCCAAAAGTAAAAGAATCAAGAGGAAAAATGAACTATTGGGATCTCATCAAGATTAAAAGCCTCTTCACGGCAAAGGAAACAATCCATAACACTAATAGGCAACTGATGGAATGGGAAAAGATAGTTGCAAATGGCATATCAGATAAAGGGCTAGTATCCAAACTCCACACCTGAAAAACAAATAATCCAGTGAAGAAATGGGCAGAAGACATGGACAGACACTTCTCCAAAGAGGATATCCAGATGGTCAACAGATACATGAAATGATGCTCCACGTTCCTCATCATCAGGGCAATACGAATCAAAACCACACTGAGATACCACCTCATGCCAGTCAGAGTGGCTAAAATGAACAAATCAGAGGACTCTAGATGCTGGCAAGGATGTGGAGAAACGGGCACCCTCCTACACTGTTGGTGGGAATGTAAACTGGTGCAGCCCCTCTGGAAAACAGTGTGGAGGTTCCTCAAAAAATTAGTAGAACTCCCCTATGACCCAGCAATAGCACTGCTAGGAATTTACCCAAGGGGTACAGCAGTGCTGATTCATAGGAGCACATGTACCCCAGTGTTCATAGCAGCGCTCTCAGCAACAGCCAAAACATGGAAAGAGCCTAAGTGTCCATCAACTGACGAATGGATCAAGAAAACGTGGTTTATCTATACAATGGAATACTACGTGGCAATGAGAAAGAATGAAATCTGGCCATTTGTAGCAACTTGGATGGAACTTGCGGGTGTTATGCTGAGAGAACTAAGTCAGACAGAGAAAGACAGATGCCATATGCTTCCACTTATAGGAGGAGTAGGAGAAACATAACAGAGGACCATGCGGGAGAAGAAGGGGAGATATGGTTGGGTAGAGGGAGGGAAGCAAACCATGAAAGACACTTGAATACTGAGAACAAACTGAGGGCTAATGGAGGGGGGAGGAGTGGGTAAGAGGGTGTTGGGCATGGAGGAGGGCACTTGTGGGGATGAGCACTGGGTGCTATATGGAATCCAACTTGACAATAAACTATGAAAGAAAAAAATAAATAGAATGAAAATAACCTACATCAATTATATTTAAATGTCATCACCCAGAATATGCGTTGCCACAATACCCAACACTCTCAACCTTCCTTTCAGTAAATGAAAATGAGGCTTATATGTTTTATGTTCATATCCTTATGACTTCCTACTCTTAAAGAAAGTGAAACTGAGATAGAGGTCAAATGTGACATGGATGGGACCGTTCCTACCCATAGTTTGAAGCTAAGTCCTTTCCCAACCTGTTCCATGATGCCTGGAAACCCACCACTGAAAGGAATATTTCTGCTAATAATTTTGATTCCTCCTCCTGTACTGTAACATAGAGGGAAAAAACACATTTAAAATCCAAATTTGCTTTTGGGGGCTATGTCTTTGAAGCCTGCTGGCAGATTTCATATCGGTGGAGGAAAAAATCTCTATACTAATGCTAACCTTCCCAGAGACTAGAAGGAAAACATAAAATGAATAAAATTTCAAGATTTCTCCCAAGTCTCCTCAGCTCTAAAGACGCTCATTTATGGATAAGGAGTTCTGCATATTGCAAGGTGGGGGAATGGCCAGGAGAAAGGCACAGTAAAGAGGGAAGAGTCCAGTCTGAGGAGGAAGGTGAGGCACATCCAGTACCCTTGGAAGTCTGGGACCACCAGTGACTTGTGTACATGGTGGCCCGATTGTGGGAGGGAGAGGAGCAGGAGCCACCTGAGAGACAAAGGCCCAATCCTTTTACACACGTCCTGTAGCAGACAAGACCAGGAAGGTAAAGATAATGAGACCAGACCCAAGCTACTCCCTCTGCCTCCAGAAACTCCAGAACTTGGGATGGGGGTGAGGACTCCAGAGCACAGAGGCCTGTTGACCTTTATCTGCCTCTGGTGAATTTCGCTTGGTAGGTCTAGGTTACAACTGGTAGTGAAACAGAAGATCATCCTAGGAGTAAATAATGTCTCTCAGCCCTCCTAACTACAGAAATTGGAGTTGGGCTGTGGAAGTACTCCTTCTGCACATCTGGGTGAGGTCAATAATAACCCCTTATGTGTGTCTAGCTTATTTAAAGCACCCAACACTTCAGGAACTTCCCCTTTGTTAACTCTTGATCCATGGGACAGACAAGGAAAAGGGGGTAGATGTTGCTCATTAGCAACCCAAGCCCAAGGTTACAGAAGCAATGAGCCTGGACAGTTACTCACAGATAGAGGAGGACCAGGCTGGTAGCCAGGAGAAGCCAGGTTTCTGTGGAAAAGCTTGGAACCAGGTCCATGGCCACTTTCCCTCTGCCAACCTCTCTACTTTCTTTCAGCAGTGTGTGCTGTCCTTTGCAGAGCTTCTCTTCCCACCTGCAGAGGTTCAGTGAGGCTGGAATGTATACACTGAAGATGGGGCAGGGCTAGAGCTGCAGCCAGTAGAAGGGCTACCTGTGCTCCACCTGACGGTGCCTCCCTCCCCCAGCCATGAGCATTGGCAAAGTATCATGAACACTCCCAGTTTGACCTCCTTTTGAGTTCATATTCTGTGGAAATCAATAAACAACTCATTCAGTGTTATCAGTAATCTCAAAGGTTACAGGAACTCAGATAAAGTCACTGTTCCTAAATCTCTAACGTGTCCATGTCACCATGGCTGTCTGCACTCCAAAATCCTTGAAATATTCGAACAAGCTAGGCCTACACATCTTTGCTCATGTAGTTTTTTTCTACCTACAAAAGCTCCTGTTTCCCACAGAAGGACCCTAATCATCCTCAAATCCAGAGCTGACAGTATCCCCTCTGTTAGAGTCTTTCCTCACAAACTCCTTGAACAGATATAACCACTTCTTGCTCTGGGAAATTTGTGTCCCCTCAACCCCCTAGTTCTACTATTGTCCTATCTACCCCTCCAGCCCAACACCTATTGGCCTTACAAAGAGAGAGCTTCTTAAGGGCACAGACTGAGCACTCATCAACATTAGTCCCCAGCAAAGCACTATGTGCTCAGAGGTCGTCCAGAAACATTGGTAGGGTTGAGCTGGTAGAGATGAAATTACTGGGATTCCTAGTATCCCTTCTGGGTGGATCTTGGGCGCCATGCCACATACCTGCTGGGAGAGGTATGAGGACATAGCCTCTGGAAATTACATCAGCTCATCATCATCACTCTGACTCATGGTCTGTGTCTGCATGTCCTGAGATATCATGGATTATGTGCCATACCTCTGGAATCTGTGGGACAATGGAGTCCTACAAAGTGGTAATTAAGAAAGTCTCCAAGCTGGAATACCAACACAGGACAGACATGGGAAGCTGGAAGATGATACCTAGGAAGAATAGAAAAGAAAGTTCCAGGAATTCTGAAATATTTCTGCACCCTTTTGGTGCCTTGACCATTCAAAAGGGTCATGCTATTTTCCGGGTTTATAGACATAGATACTGAGACTCAGTGACTGAAATTATATTTCCAACAGCCATTGATTACTAGGACATATTGTAAATAAGCTAACATGAATAGAGATCGAAAAGTCTTCTGCATTTGGCAATAATCACATTCAATGTTTACCCTTCCCTAATAAGTGTCACTTATGGGAAATAGTGAGACCCAAAGCTGCAGCAGCAAACTGGTTAAATTTCTGTTCCTAATTCCATGGCAGCCCATACATCATCTGCCTTCTGGGTCTTCCAGAACAAAGGACACTGCCTCACCTTAGTGGGAAATGAGATGCTAGTCAAGATAGCATTAAGAGTATTGTTGGTTGGGATTTCCCTCTTGATGTTCCCCCAACAGAGCAGTACACAGAATACATGCAAACAAGGCAGATTCGTATCATCTGATAATTCTTGACAATTTAATTCTCTTACCTAAACACAGAGTCTTTCTTTTTTTAGTTTTCTTTTTTAATTTTATTTACTTATTTTGAAAGACAGAGTGCAAGCAGGGGAGAGGCAGAGAGAAAGGGAGAGTTAGAGAATCCCAAGCAGGCTCATACTGACAGCACAGAACCTGACACAGGGCTCAAACTCATGAGCCCTGAGATCATGACCTAAGCTGAAATCAATAGTTGGACAATCAAACAATTGAGCCACCTAGGCATCTCCCATGAAGCCTTTCTTATTTTACATGGAAACCAGGCCTCTGTGGGAACTAATATATTTTCATCTTCCTCTGAAATTCATGCTAGGTTGTGATGATTTCATAATTAAGCCTAATATGAGCATTCCCTTGCCCTTTTCATCTCAGGGCCTGCTCCATCTGGTTGGAATCTACCCCAACAGTGATAGGCTAGTTTTTACTGGTGACTACAATGCAGCCAGTACCAAACCCATGTAGCTGGCCTTGTCTGCAAGGGAGAATAATAGAGCTGTGAGTGCCATGCCCCATCCTTCCCCAAAAAGGAACACCTGAAATGACCAGACTTACATCCTCAGAGTTGTGCACAATATGTGAAGGAAGACATTTCATGTTGGATGAACACCTGCACACCCCATGGCTCTCATCTACTCCTTCCTGTACTAATACAGTCATTATGTACTTTTCAAAGTGTGCTCTAAATTTGTACAGTAAAGGAAGATCTCAAACCCAGCCAGCATTCAAGGTGAAAAGAGAGAACACTACCAGATAATTATAGTACAGCCAAATAAAAGTAACTGTGTGTCCTCCTCAACAGTGAAGGATTTATCCATTTTCTCAGTCTCCTTTGTATCCTGCTTGGTTTAAGGACTATAAAGTACTTCATAGTTTGACTTCTAGGGGAAACTGAGGTAATTTCAATCATATTTCAGTCTGTTCACTGGTCAATCTATTCAATTTTTTCTTTGCCTTTTCTTTTATTCTTGAATACAGAAAGAGGAAAACAATTATTTTTACTTTCCATTTTTATTAAAAATAATTTTCTTAAAATTTTCTACTATATTTTTTACTTTTTTGTAAGTTTTCAAAAATTCTATTTTATTTCCATCATGCCACTTTATTCTATTTTAGTGTATTCATTTTTTCAAATTAACAAAGTTTTCCTTTTTTCTCTGTATTTTTCTTTTTTCCTTTTTTTCTTTTCATACCTTTCCCCTTTTCCTCTAATCTATCAAGCTTCTTTAAACAGCTAGGACAAAACACACCTAGCATCCAGCATCCTTTATTTGATTTTTTGTGTTGTTTCTTTTCTTTTAATTTTATTTTTTTAACCTTATTAGTTCCTTTTATTCCTTCAAAATCATGAAACAAAGGAATTCACCCCAAAATAAAGAACAGGAAGAAATGACAGCCAGGGACTTAACACAGATACAAGCAAGATGTCTGAAGCAGAATTTAGACTCATTATAATAAGAACACTACTTGGGGTTGAAAATTCATGAGAATCCTTTTCTGTGAAGATAAAAGAAGTAAGAGTTAGGATGAAATTTGTAAAAAGCTATAATGGAGCTGCAATCTCGAATGAATGCTACAGTGGCAAAGATGGATGAAGCAGAGCAGCAAGTCAGCGATATAGAGGACAAACTTATAGAGAAAAATAAGGTAGAAAAAAGAAGGAAACTAAGGCAAAAGAGAATGATGTAAGAATTAGAGAACGCAGTGACTCATCAAAAGGAACAACATCAGAATCCTGGGGGTCCCAGAGGATGAAGAGAGAGAAAAAGGGATAGAAGGGCTATGTGAGCAAATCCAGGCAGAAAACTTTACTAAACCTGTGGAAAGACACAGACATCAAAATCCAGAAAGCACAGAGGACTCCCATTAGTTTCAACAAAACTGACCATCAACAAGGCATATCATAGTCAAATTCACCAAATACTCAGACAAGGAAAGAATCATGAAAGCAGCAAGAGAAAAAAAAAGTCTTTAACCTACAAGAGAAGACAGAGCAGGTTCACAGAAGACCTATCCAAAGAAACTTGGCAGGCCGGAAAGGAGTAATAAGATATATTCAATGTGCTGAATCAGAAAAATGTGCAGCCAAGAATCCTTTATCCAGCAAGGTTGTCACTCAAAATGAAAGGAGAGATAAAAGGTTTCCTCGACAAACAAAAATTAAAGGAGTTCATGACCACTAACCCAGTTCTAAAGAAATTTCAAAAGAAACTCTCTGAGGGGAGAAAAGACAAAACAAAACAAAACAACCCCAAAAAGACCAAAAGCAGCAAAGACTAGCAAGGACCAGAGAACACCACCAGAAATCCCAACTCTACAGGCAACATAATAGCAATAAATTTGTATCTTTCAGTACTCACTCTAAACATCAATGGACTAAAAGCTCCAATCAAAAGACATAGTGTAGCTGAATGGATAATAAAACAAGATCCATCTATATGCTATGTACAAGAGACTCATTTTAGATCTGAGAACACCTGCAGATTGAAAGTGAAGGTTTGGAGAACCATCTATCATGCTAATGCTCGCCAAAAGAAAGCCCAAGTAGCCATGCTTATATCAGATAATCCAGACTTGAAAATAAAGACTGTAACAAGAGATGAAGAAAGGCATTATATCACAATTAAGGGATCTATCCACCAAAAAGATCTAACAATTGTAAACATTTATGCTTCAAACATGAAAGCACCCAAATATATAAATCAATTCACAAACATAAACTCATTAATGATAATACCATACTAGTAGGGGACTTCAACACACTATTTACAGCAATGGACAGATGATCTGAACAGAAAACGAACGACGAAACAATGGCTTTGAATGACATACTGGACCGGATGGACTTAACAGATATATTCAGAACATTTCATCCTAAAGCAGCAGAATACATATTTCTTCTCCAGTGTACATGGAGCGTTCTCCACAACCAATCACATACTGGAACACAAATTAGCCCTCAATGAGTACTAAAAATCGAGATCACACCGTGCATATTTGCAGACCAAACGCTATGAAACTTGAAGTCAACCACAAGGAAAATTGTGGAAAGACAACAAATACTTGGAGACTAAATACCATCCTACTAAAGAATGGATGAGCTAACAAAGAAGTTAAAGAGGAAATTATAAAAATACATGGAAACCAATGAAAATGATAACACCACAGCCCAAAACCTCTGAGATGCACCAAAGGCAGTCATGAGAGGAAAGTATATAGCAATCCAGGCCTTCCTAAAAAGGAAGAAAGGTCTCAGATACACAACCTAACCTTATACCATAAAGAGCTGGAAAAAGAACAGCAAATAAAACCCCAAACCAGCAGAAGACAGGGAAATAATAAAGGTTAGAGCAGAAATCAATGCTATCGAAACCACAAAAACACAAAAGACCCCGAATAGCCAAAGTAATATTGAAGAAGAAAACC